CCAGAAAGAGCTAAGGGCACGAAGCCTCATCTATGGTTATGATTGCAAAAGTACAATCTAACTTTATTATTTAGATAAAGTCAGACGTCTCTAGAAGATGGCGAAGCAACCCTCATGCCAATTCCTATGTGAAAGAGGATATCCACCACTTTCCAAACTAAGTAGCCAGATGCATGACAGGCCCTTCTCCATAAAGTCTGACTGATACCAAAATGGTGGGCATACTGCTAAGATGACCAAAGAACAAAACCCCAAACACCTTTTATGAGGAGATAAAAATGAGTTGGGAGAAGGTGGCTTCAGTCTTCAATTTGGCAAAAACGCAGTCATGCGGAATCACTCAGGTACTAATTCACTAGCTTCAACACACTTTAAAATGAGTCATGGATACAGCAAGAAAATGTATATAAAAGATATTTTTACAAAGTAAGCTGTGGAGTATATCATAAAGATATGATACAATAACATTTTTTAAAAGGTACTTCTTGACTATTCCTGTCTTCTGTTCTACTCGGTAGCACACTTCCAGATGGTTCCATGCTCCGTGACGTAGCGAGGAGAGAAGGTGGCTGGCGGGGACACACAGAGCAGAGGAGGACTGGGCTTTGCAGAAGCTGACTGAGAGGGCAGGGAGAGGCTGAGGTGGGGAGCCTTTGGAAGGTATATTCCTTTTTTTTTTTTTTTAAGATTTTATTTATTTATTTGACAGAGAGAGACACAGCAAGAGAGAGAGAACGCAAGCAGGGGCAGTGGGAGAGGGAGAAGCAGGCTTCCCGCGGAGCAGGGAGCCCGACGCGGGGCTCGATCCCAGGACCCTGGGATCATGACCTGAGCCGAAGGCAGACACTCAACGACTGAGCCACCCAGGCGCCCTGGAAGGTATATTCTTTACTGAGATAATGAACAGAGAAGAGCAGTGGGGAGAGGAGGACCGGAAGTCTAAGAGTCTTCCTGAAAGAAAACAGGAAAGAAAAAGAAGAAGGCCTAGAAAGAGAGGCGAGAGGAGAGTAGAGAGCGCACAGAAGAGTCCAGCACCCAGAGCCAGAGACGCGTCTTCAAGAGTGATGGGTTAGGGCTCCCCTGCTGGTCACAGTCCAGAGCCCGTTAAGCAAGCCCCTTGGGGGATGCTCCTGCTTCAGGCCTGTGAGCTCAGAGGAACCTACTTAGAATGACCCTTGACCCTTGAACCAAGAGGGGTTAGAGGCACTGACCCCCACGCTTTTGAAAATCCGTGTATAAATTTTGATTCCCCCCAGATGTAACTATCAACAGCCTGCTGCTGACCGGAAGCCTTGCTGATAACAGTCCATTAACACATGTTCCGTATGTTGTATGTATTCTATACTGTATTCTTACAGTAAAGGAAGCTAGAGGGAAGAAATGTTATTTAACAAAATCATGAGGAAGAGAGAATACATTTACAGGACTATACCGCATTTATTGAAAAACAAAATCTATGTATGAGTGGACCTGCACAGTTCAAGCCCATGTTGTTCACGGGTCAAGTGTGTTTATGACATCCTCCCACCAGACCTCAGGAGCTTGAGCCCGACTTGGAACATCAGCATGGAGGAGAAGAGATAGTACCACCTGTGGGAGTTACTACGCTCAAAATAAGCCCATCAGCCCAGGGAGGAAAGATTGAACAGAGAGCCTCAAATCTGTAGGCAGAAATTCTCCAAAAAACGGTTGTATGGGAGAGTATTGTATTTTATAATTCTCCCTATTACTTTCCAACACCTACAAACCCGACAGTGTTCCAGGCATTTGGCAATGCCAGAAGCCCCTGATTCGGCTTCTTTGAAATGAGCAGTGCAGACAAACAAGTCTGTATGTTGCTCGGATAGAAAAACTCGGTAAAACTACCAGGTTCATTCTGAGCGCTCCTGGTATAATCAGTAGTAATTTGATCTTTTTCCAGAAAAACAAAAACAAAAACAAAAAAACCCACGTAATAGGCGCCTTTAAATACCTAAATCTTCTAATTTGCCACAGGCAAGTTGTTATGTTCAGCGAGCATCAGAACAGCCATAGGACAAAGAGAAGCTCCTTCCAGATGGCTCTCCTTTCCCTCTCCCTTCACATATAAAATTGTATCACAATTATAGTCTCCACTTTGCAAAGTGCTTAGAAATATTTACTTAGTACTGACAGGCTAAAAGGGCTCTTGTTCTGAAAAATTTGCCTAAGGTCTAGAATTTTCGCCACCTGGCAATAAAGGTGCTTTGGTAGGGGGGGGCGAGGGGGGGCAGGGGAGGTGGTGAGGGAAGAATATTTAAAGTCCAGCACATCTGGCTATTAAATTGATTGGAGCCAGCACATGCTACCAAAAATATAAGACACAGCTAAGAAATACTTATGGAAGGAGGAAAACCACAGAAGCCGCTCCAGATCACATTATAAAACAGGAAGAAAGAGAAGCAGAGTTGAAAAGACAGGGAGAAGAGACGTAAATTTGGGTCACAAAGAGGATGACCATTGTCTGGAAGGACTGGAAGTTTAACCTTGCTAAGGAAGGCACGGTGAAAAAACAGACTTGATGTCACAGTTAAGGTGAGCCTGCTTCCTGACCAAAGTGAAAAAGCACATGCCCCAACTCTTAGAGGCTTCATTACCTGTAAACAAAATGGAAGTCAGAGCAGCAAGGTGGGGCAAAAGGCCTCCCTGATTTATCAAGGATAAATACGCTAAGAGTCATGTTACTGAAATTATATGAATAAGTGTAATGCCAGAGGGCTGATGACAGGAAGAGGGAAGTCTCTGTAAATCAAACATTCCAGACAGAAAACTTTCTTTTCAGGTTTCAGAAATAAACTGCCAATACTTAGGATTATAGGGATGTATCGGCGATCAGTTAACTGTGCTTTCCCAATATTAATAGGAATGACAAAAATAAGATACGGCAACAATAAGGCTTAATTCCCCTACATTTATTTGTGAGATGTCCTCTAATTTTTGAGGGCATTTTTGTTCCCTTCTCTATTTTGCTTAGGCAAATCTATATCGATATAATTAAGAGTCTGTTACCACATCACATAAAAAACGGTTGTATGGGAGAGTATTGTATTTTATAATGATGCCAAGGAGTTTTAGAAATTGTATTACTATAACTTTGCCATAATTTCATGAGATGAAATTCCATGTTTTTTAAATTAAAAAAATTTATTGTGATTAAATGCACGTACCATGAAATTTACCACGTGAACCATCCTTAAGGGTGTGGTTCGGTTGACACTAAGTCCTTTCACAGTGTTGCGTGACCAACGTATTTATTCGTTCTTAAAAGTGACCATTTTCTGGGGTGCCTGGGTGGCTCAGTCGGTTAAGCATCTGCCTTCGGCTCAGGGTCTTGGGGTCGAGCCCCACGTCAGGCTCCCTGCTCAGCAGGGAGTCTGCTGCTCCCTCTCCTTCTGCCCCTCTCCCGACTCATGCTCCCTCTCTCTCAAATAAATAAAAATATTCTTTCAAAAAAATGACCATTTCCCAGTTTCTTTTCATTTCTCTGTATTTACAGGTAGGAAGCTACACCCAACCAATGCCAACAAAAAATGAAAACCCTCAGATCCATACCTACAAGAAATTTTTAATATAAGGCTTTTCAGAAATCCCAAAGTCATTTTGAAAAGAGCTATTGCTTCAAAGGCCGAAGTCTCCAATAAGCACGAGTGAGCAGACACATGGAGGCTGCTCAGGAGACACAAGGCCGACACAGGTGCATGCCCGATGTGCAGAGACGAGCAGAGACCTGAGGTGCCTGCCACGGGAGGCGGCCTGTGTCACGGACCGCTGAGACTCAAGTCCAAGACAAAGAGCATTCTACTGCTAATCCGGAGAAATTGATCTCACTGTCCACATGCACGGGGAGGGAAAACTCATCAGTGATTTACAATGAGCCCCAAATCAATTTTTCTTAGGAATTTAACGCTGGTTCAATGACTGGAAATTGTCATGATTGCCTGGCCCTGCAAAAGAAAGAAAAGGTGAGCCAAAGATTAAATACCGAGTCACTGGTGAGGTTGTGTTGGAGGCGACGAAGGGCTACCTCAATTTCTCATTAATGCGACGTCTAGAGTCGAGTTCTTTAAAGGTTAATATCTGGCTGATAACACTGCACGTCCAAGGGGCTTGGTAAGGGAGAATTATCTAGTTATTTTTTGAATACTACACATTCCCTTAAACTACCCAATCCCTCTGACTTCATTCCAACACGTGCACTTCCAAGTGGGCATGTTTCACTAGGATCAAGAGGAAGTCACAAGGGCAGATTCTCTGGACCGTAAGCATTACTTTGCACTTGAGCTGCTTTTCACGCAGGCTGCAGGCTAAAGAGCAGGTGCGAGTGGGGATTCATTCGTGGACAGAAGAAACACATGTGCCTGTACGGAGTCAGGCAGTACTAGGGCCAGCTATTAATTATTACCATTTCTAAAACCATGACAACTGCTCAACTTTATTTATCGGTGGTTGCTGTTTCTCCTAAGCAACGTCGGCTATTACAGCTAATGTCCTAAGTAAAACCGCCCCCTTCTCTGAGCACCCTCCAAAAACTGGCTAGGGCCAGGAGGCCCCCTAAACAGGGTAGACACAGGAGATCAGGAAGATAATCTGATACCTGAATTTCTGTTTTGATAACACACGAAGAAGACACTCCACTTGTGAACAACTGTGACTTAACAACCCTAAACCCAGCTCCGTGTCCATTTAACTAACCCATTTTGGAGTTACACTTTTTAAGAGGAGAGAGGCATGAAAACTGTGCTAAAAACTTAAATCTTGGAGATGTTTTCCAAAAAATTAAAAAAAAATGTTCCACCAACTCACTTCTTTTTATTTATTTATTTTTAAGATTTTATTTATTTGACAGAGAGAGAGAGAACACAAGCAGGGGGAGTGGGAGATGGAGAAGCAAGCTTCCCGCCGAGCAGGGAGCCCGATGCGGGGCTCGATCCCAGGACCCTGGGATCATGACCGGAGCCGAAGGCAGACGCTTAACAACTGAGTCACCCAGGTGCCCCCACCAACTCACTTCTAAAACAGTAACTAAAAATAGCCCAACTTGAGAGAGAAGTGTTAGGAATCTCTTTCTAGCAACTACTCTTGAACACAGAACCCAGGAGTTACTCCCATTACCCCATTCCTTTATTTTCCACCTTTATAAACCCACCAAACTTCCTCTGTAACTTCAATTAAAAACTCCCTCGTCTTTCTTTTGTTCTAATGAGAAAAATGAGAGACGCTGGTTAACAACATTTACAATCAACACAGCAACACGTGACGATGCAGGTAAAAATCCCTGTTCGGCTATGATTTAATCCTGCAAGTATCTAACTTGGTGCCAGCCAGCCTATAGGAAATGAGACGGACACAGTTCTGGCCTAGACCTCTGGCTCGTCTCTGATTTACTACTCTGTGTGTGTGTCGGGTACGGCGGGGTTGCGAGGGGGTGCCTGATTTTCTTCAAAGGGCTGTGGAAAGATGACAGAGCTGGAAGAACCTCAAAGGGCGTCTAGTCCAAACCACTGGTTTTGCATGTACAGAGACGTCCGGTCACTTCCCGCTCCCAGGCTTACCCAGCTTGGGTGATCTCTGTCGCGACCAGAATCCGGTTCTTCATTTCATTTCAATTTACAAATATAAAAGAAAATCCATATACGAATGGGAAGCACATGGGTGTAATGGTGAAGTCCTGAAGGGTTAGGTTGGGTTGACAAGACATGTCGAGCAGGTGCTGGGGCACTCTTCCCCCACCATGGGCAGTGGGCAAATAACAGAGGTAAAGTATACCTCGAGTATGCAAAGCATACTCTGTCCCAGGCCTCCTGACAGTCCTTCTCAGCCCAGTCAGTCCTTTTGGGTCCTGTAGGGCCAGCTGAAAGCACGTGAAGTCACTGGTGAACACACATTACCAGAAAACACGCACAAAACACATACATCAGGCGGGGAGCACCGACCGAGGCCCATACGGTGTAGTTATTACTCCTGTAACAACAGAAGCCACCCTTGGAAATCACACCTTATCTTTCCAAACCACACCAAGCAAAAACAATAATCAAAAAATGATTCTACTTTGTGATCATTTCTGACCCCTTGATGATAGCCTCGTAGGAGATTACAGAAGCGTGGAGGCCTCTGAGGCTGTCAGCCCCTATCAATCACCTTCCATTAAATAAAGGTTTTCCAATTTTGCGCTTCTCTCAAAGGCTTCATTTTGCCTGCATTAAGCTGAAGCATCAACATTTGAACTTACTGCTCCTATTCCTGGTTCCCAAATAAATGCCGTTAGCAGAAAAATGGGCTTTTCCACAGTAGGAACTCAAAATCAAAGCAGACAACAGTGATGTGGTCACATATACGAGACATCTGACCACAAACGCCTCACACGTGCATTTTACACATTTCACGAGCAACCACAGGGCCCAGGAGGAAGGGAGGATGTAAGGGATGCCCCAGAGCAGGAGAGATCTGTGGGCCGTACACATTAGCCCCTGAAATGCATCTGGGCCAATCCCAATATAGTCATCAGAGTGCCGCAGATTTCTCTTGGGTTCCAGAAGCAGGTCTAAGAGTCATGCACTGCACGGTTTTACTACTTGGTCTCTATGATCCCCATGACGGAGAAAAGTCATTTTGTCTAAAATGTAGCAGATGGGTCTAAGGGAGGGAAACAGTTTAAAATCAATTGGGAAAAGCATGTTTAAAAAATAAGCACCTCAAGCAGAGAGACTCATCTTCTCTTTGTAACGCTGACAGCTGGGCGGGGGGCGAGGGGGACATGTTTCCTGCATTCATACACCAAAACCAGAAGATGTGGGCCACAGTTTCTATAAATATGATCAAGACTCCACCCATGCACATTTTCCTGCCCCGATAAACAGGCTCTGTCATTATTATCTTTAATGGCCACATAAACGTGACAAGAGCCAGAAACAGAGTGGCGAGAACATCAAGCGATGAAGAGGGAAGTGGGAGATCTCAGAGTCATTTCCAAATAGGCCTGGGGGATGCACTGGGTGCATGTGACCAAGAGGTCCCCAAGAAGTACACTGTGACATGTTTTATTTGGCCCACGTGGACATTTTTTTAAATGTTAATTTACTGTCAACACTAAAATACTGGGAGATCTCACTTGAAAATCCAGATTTCAGGCTTCTCCCAAGAAAACAAGCAGAGAGATGACTGGCACGTCATTCCCACTTGGCGACAATCTGTTGTTTACGCTCCCATTTGTCCCTGGAGGTCATCGTGGTGGCCTGCTTCATTATGAAGGTTCCTGTCCGGTCTCTCCTGCAGGTAAGGAGGGTACAAAGAAGATGCCCAGATTGATAGGGGGCTGGGGGGCAGGCCTGAGAAATGGACTGGCAGCACCCAAAGACACAGACCTTGAACTTCAGGTGCAGTCCGGGTCTGAGATGTGGAACATCTGGTTGACCATGAAGCCATCCAAGAGAGCAGATGAAGAAGCTTAAAGACAAAGTGCCAAGAGGACTGAGTCCAATCTAAAGTCTTCAGTAGAAGTAGGACGAGGGAAAGCGATGCAAGCCAAAAGGGGGCTGGGTTTGTGGCCTAGCCTCCACGACTAGCCTCACCGCCATGCCTCTCCGGCAGGCGCCCTCGGGCCCAGCCAGCCAGCCCCGATTCTTGTTTGAGAAACCGAGTGTCGTTTCGGGCCTTAGTACCTCCTGCAAACCTGTATTTCCTACTGCCTAGAACGCTAGCCTGCCCCTGCTAGATTTCTACCCAACTTTCCAGAATGAGCGGCCCCAAGGAGGTTGCTTCGATGGTGTCGTGTGACCTTCCGGTAGGCTCTGTAAATGCACTGCCCCGAGCTTACTGCCTTCCTGTCCGAGTGCGTGCTCCCTGAGGCCGGCCACCAGGTCTTCTGACTTCTTCTCCTCGGTGCTCAGCTGTGTCACAGGAATCAAGGAAGAGGGATTTCCGGTGGACTGAAACTTCTCAATACCAGAAGTTATTCAAGGGTGATGGGTGGCACTAGATTTTCGCAACGTACTGTGGCCAATAAGTCCGAGTGGGGGCTGGTTCCTGATACATCGCTGGAAAATAATTTGGCAATATATATCAACCGAACACCGCTCCCACCCTGGGCCTCAATAAATCGACTTGGGAAATAAGTAACGGGTGGTGGTAATGGCCAAGTTTTGTTTTGCTTTGTTTTTTCCCCGGCTGTCCAGAACCAACCCCAATTTCCATTTTGAGGGAACTCCAATCACATGAAGCCCAACATGGTCAGATTCGTCCTCGGCCCCCCGCCGGAGACCAGGCCCAGCCGGCTCGGCACCCCTCCTCTGACCAAGAGAGGCGGGGGCGTCGCTCAGCTACTCTGGCTGCAGCATCCTGGCCTCTTTGTGCAGGGACGGCTGCTCTACCCCGGGCCCTCCAACCTCCTGTCCCTTCTCTGGGCTCCAACAACCTCCCAATCAGGGCCCTGTCGAAATAAGAGCCAGACCCAGTCTCTGTTTCTGGACCTGGAAGCATCCTAACCGATACCCTACATGACAGGAACGAGTCTTATAGATGGAGAAAAGCTTTATGTCTGTAATACAGCATTACTTATACAGCAAAATGAGGAAACAGTCTAAAAGCCCCCAAACAAGAGCACCCAAGTAAAGGACGGTGTATCTATTTGTCAGAATGGTACTAATGACACCAAAAGAAAAAAGGGCTTATAAGAACATGTTAAAAAGACAGAAGCGTTAAAAATAGAATATCGTCAACGTCCTGTAAAAATACTGTGGGTAACAATAAAAAAAGTTTAAAAAAAAATACCGTGGGTAGAAAAAAATGACTAGAGAGGTACCAAAATATTAAGATAGAAACAGATTTTCCTTAGAGTTTCAATTAATCAATTAGGAAAGTACCGCAGGCACGGACAGTCTCCGGCCCCCTGGCTCCAACCCTGGCCGGCTCACACCACTCTGAAGGAACAGTGTTAGCTCTGTATGTTCCAGCAAACTGTCCTCTACGGTTCTGACGTGGGTCTCCCCACCTTCCCTCTGTCCCTCCCTCCTTTTTTTCTTCCCTCCCTCACTCCCCTCCAATGGGATCACAGAATACCTGCTTACTTTGGGTTTCCACTTTACCAGACCCAGGGGAAGCCTGCTCTACTCACTCCTCAGGCCTCTGTTCCCATGTTGTATCCTCCTGGAACCTCTGAGCCCCTAGGCTGGCTGAGCTCCTTCTCCGCCTGGGCACCCTGTAGTCATCGGGATCTACACTGGGTCCTTCTCCGCCACTCCATGGTAGGCGCCATGCCCAGCCCGCCCTTCAGCTCCGGGACTGAGCCCAGTGCCTGGCCCGCAGATGAGGCCCAGTGTTGACAGGGAAAAATGAAAAGAATGGATGGGGAATGAAGCTTGAGGACAAGATGGCTTTGAGGGCAGACATGCATCAGTGGAGGACCGGGCATTTCTCCAGAGACATGGAATGAAAGACGACACTGGGTATAGAGACAGACATGCAGGTCTGTACAGAATAAGGGAGCGGAGGAACTTACCTGGATTATCTCAAGGAAGGAGGAAAAGAGAAAGAAGCAGATGATAGGCAAGAAAAATATTCTTGAGAAGCAGTAAGAGAAAAGAATCTGCACAGTTATTCTTCTGCCCCATAATTAGGTATCCAATTATCTGTTTGCAGTAGGGTTTTATTTATTTATTTGAGAGAGAAAGTGAGCGAGCGAGAGAGAGAGAGAGAGAGAGAGCACGAGTGGGGGGGGGAGTGGCACAGGCGGAGGGAGAAGCAGGCTCCCCACGGAGCAGGGAGCCCAATGCAGGGCTCGATCCCAGGACCCTGGGATCATGACCAGAGCCGAAGGCAGACGCTTCACTGACTGAGCCACCCAGACACCCCTGTGGTAGGGTTTTAAAAACAATTCCTTGAGAGATTAAATGGTGTCCAAGGTTAGTTAAATAAACCAGACAACTTAGAATTCAGCTTCCTGTCTCTGTTGTTCAAAAGAGCTAATGTACGAAAAAATATGTTCATGCTTATCTAAGGGAAGGCAGCACCATCCCGGGCGCACTAGACGTGCCCCTTACTAATTTCATGCCCGGGAATGGCCTCGGCCACAAAATTACACATTTCAGTTTATCTGAAAGAAAGCAATTCCATTTCTAATTCAATGAGGACAAGAACCTCCTAGCTCCGGATTATCCCTGCGAAACTTTCTCAGGTCATCACTGTTCTCCTTAAAAGCCCTTCTACGCTGCCTTCCAACAAGGGTCAGAGCCTCTGGGTCTTATTTATGAAGGCAGCTCTGGGCAACCGATTGAGACCCACACTTTCCCATGGCTGGCGTTTGCTGAGGACGCACTAGAACCAGTCACTGGGCCACCAGCTTGCTTTCACTGAACGTGCAGAATAACTATGCGGACAGGGCAGGTGGCTCTCCCAGGCACCCAGGTCCCAAGTGGCAGAGGCCACACTGTGACCCAGCTCGGGCTCCACAGCACTGTGTTGTGCTACTCGTAAGCCTCCCTAAGAGAGTCACACGACAAAACGTGGAAGGCCCATCGAGGGTCCCAGGTTGGGGCGGCGTTAGTGCAATGTCAGCCAGGCGGATTTTTCTCCACATCACTGAAATGTGGCTAAGACCACAATCGAGGTGCTTAGACAACATTACGTAATAGTCAATATGCTGAGAAGCAACACTGTCCCTCACCCCGAGTCATTCAGAACTCTCAGTCTGGCCTCTCACAATTGGTTTCGTCCGTCAGACTCAGACGAGGCTCTATTTTGAATTCTAATGAGGACGAGGCACACTGAATATTTAACTGCGATGACAAAGATCTTGCTTTTGTGGAGACGCCCTGACACAAGTAACAGATCTGCAAGTACATACAGGGACCGATGGAAAATACCAGTCTAATCTGCGTTTGGACGCTGGAAAAAGACAATATTGTTTTCTACTTGATGCTGTTTGGGGGCTGGGGGTGGGCAAGGAAAAAGGAAGAAGAGCCACACAAAGATCTCAGTAAAATTTTTGCAGCCGGGGCTCCTGAGTGAAAGGTTTACAAAGACATGCTTGAATCCTTTGTTAATGACTGCACAAACAAATTCATCACCAGGCCCTTCTGTGTGGCCCCCTTGCACTTCAGTCGGTGCTAACAACTGGAAATTTCCTCCCTGCGAAAGCAGCTATGACATATATGTATCAGATCAGCAAAGAAGACGTGCTGCGGAGAGGGAAACAAAAGACCATTTCACGGTTCACAACCTACTTCTGCACTTAAAATGATGTGCCCGCGGCTACCCTTGGCTCACTCACGTCCCCGGAGTTAAACAAGTGGGGTGCCACGTGAACAGTAACCGAGGGACACTTGAGTGGGTCGCTTAACACCTACCCAGCAAACAGTTAAAATATACCTTCACTTGCGCTTCCTGTGCGTGCGTGTGCGCGTCTGTTTACGTGGAAATGATCAACCGTGCCTTGCATTTGGGAAGTGCAGGGGATCGACCCTTTGCTGTGTCTCGAGGCTCCTGGACCAAGCCCTCCAGACCCTTTCTTATTGAGATCATAATGTAACTTCCATAGCATTTGGACATCTCTTGTATATGCTAGCTGGCAGTTATGGAGAGAGACTATGGCTTATATTTTTCTTAGCTGCCCGCTGGTTGATTCTCTCTGCTGCTACCAAATATACCCATTGAGTTTTGAATTTCAGGTATTTTTTTTTTTTTTTAATTTCTAGGAGCTTGATTTTGGTCCCTTTTCAAGTTTTCTGCTACTTTCTATGGTTTCCTGTTTTCTGAAGATCCTTTCAAGCCTGTCGTTTCTTTCTTTAAATATACCAAGCATAGGTGATTTTCTTATCTCTGTCTGACAATTCTACTACTGCCAATCTGCGCAGATTGGTAAGTGTGGTCTGTGGCTGCTTCTGGCTCATGCTGTGCTGTTTCCACATCTGCTAGGTTATCTTTGACTGTGTGCTGGTCACTGCTCTGAACAATTCATTTTGGGGTGATTCTTAGAGACCAGGGATAAAGATGTCCTCTTCCAGACAGGCATGTCATTATTTTTGCCAGGCACCTGGAGCTCTAGCATGTGAATCTAGAACTCCGAACCAAATGCAGAGTCTGGGGTTTCCTGGCCCAGGCTGAGATGGATGCTCACGATGCAAATCCACGCGAGGGCCTTTCTGTGCCCCCAACTCGTCGGAAACTATGGTTTTGTCCCTTTCCCTCTCCAATCTTCTCAGTGCCGAAGCTGCCTTCTCCACACTTCCCAAAGGTACCTTACTTCCAGTTCACTTTTACCCTAAGGGTGCTCTCTGGGGACCCACCTCAATGGGGGAAGGGTCTCCTGTTACACTTTTCAGCTGGGGTGGGCCCAGGACAGTAGCTTCTACCCCACCTGCCTACCTCTCTCAGGCTACATAAGTCCCTGACCCCTGCCTGCAAATGGGCTTTATCAGGAAAAAAATCAAACCACCAGAAAGTACCTAAGAGTTTAAGGACTGGAGGGCACCTGGGTGCCTCAGTCCGTTAAGTGTCCAACTCTTGATTTTGGCTCAGGTTGTGACCTCAGGGTCATGAGATCGAGCCCTCTGTCAGGTCCCATGTCTGGCTCTGTGCTCAGTGTGGAGGGCTCTGCTTGGGATTTTCTCCTTCCCTCTCCTTCTACCCCTCCCCCAGCTCGCAGGAGCTCTCCCTCTTTCTCTAAAATAAATAAATCTTTAAAAAAAAAAGAGAGAGAGAGTTTAGGGACTGGAAGCAAAACAAAAGGACAGGTTAATATAATGGTTCCTTAGGGGCGCCTGGGTGGCTCAGTTGGTTGAGCGACTGCCTTCGGCTCAGGTCATGATCCTGGAGTCCCGGGATCGAGTCCCGCCTCGGGCTCCCCGCTCAGCGGGGAGTCTGCTTCTCCCTCTGACCCTCCCCCCTCTCATGCTCGCTCTCTCTATCTCATTCTCTCAAATAAATAAATAAAATCTTTTAAAAAACATACAATGGTTTCTTAAAAAAAAATTAAACACGGAATTAACATCTGATTCAGCAACAGGACTTCTGCGTATATACACACAAAAGCAGGGACTTGAATAGATGCTTGTACACCTATGTTCATACTGGCATTATTCACCCAATAGCCAAAAAGGTCCACTTACAGATAAATGGATAAACAAAATGTGGTATGTATATGCACTGGAATATTATTTAGCCTAAAAAAAGGAAGGAATTCGTGACACACTCTAGTATAGCATGGAAGAATACTGAAGACATTCTGCTGAGTGAAATAAGCCAGACACAAAAGGGCAAACGCTGTGTGAATTCACTCATCTGAGGTACCTGGTGTTGTCAAATTCACAGAGACAGAAAGTAGACTGGTGGCTGAGAGGGGCCGCTGGAGAAGAAGAGGGAGTCAGTGTTTCACCGGGTCAGAGCTTCAGTTGGAGAAGATGGAAAGGTTCTGGAGACAGATGGTGCTGACGGCCGCACAAGCACATGAATGCACTCAATGCCACTGAACCGCGTACTTAAAATGGTTATGATGGCAAATTTTATATGTATTTTATATTTATGTATCTTTTATCATAATAATTTTTTTCTAAACTTAGGTTAATAGGGGCACCTGAGTGGCTCAGTTAAGTGCCTAACTCCGGCTCAGGTCGTGATCTCGGGGTCCTGGGATCGAGCCCCGCGTGGGACTCCCTGCTCTGCGGGGAGTCTGCTTGTCCCTCTGCTTCTGCCCCTCCCCCCACACGTGCTCTCTCTCAAATAAATAAAAATAAAACCTTTACAAAAACAAGTTAGGTCAATTTTGGCAGGGGCTGATGGACCCACAAAGTAAATCCCACAGGGAACAATAACTTTACAGGCTTAATACTGATCAATGACAGCAGGGTGTTACTGAACCAGTCTGACCTCTGTAGAGCTCAGGAAGCAGCACAATGAACCTTTATCAATACGCAAAAACTAGCACTGCTTGCCAACAAACATATATATAATTGCAGATTTCCCTATAAAAATATAAATGCCATAAATTTTCCTTTAAAGGTATCAGGCATCAGAAATGCTCTAAGATTCGTTATCAGGGTGTTGATCTACGTTACTGATGGCACCGCTAAGTAAATATTAGGGAAACAAATGGACAGGGTAAGAGAAGAGGACTCTCTTTAAAGCATTTCTACTGAAAGAATGAAGAAATGTCTATTCAGCGCTGCCGCACTGCTGGACTTCTCCCTCTGAGCCCTACATATGCCGTTGACCCTTGCACAGCGCGGGTTTGAACGGCGTGGTCCGCTTCCATGCGGACTTTTGTCAATAACCACAGTACAGTACTATACGTGTACCTTCTCTTCCTTATGATTCTTTTTTAAAGATTTTATTTATTTATTCATAAGAGAGAGAGAGGCCGAGGGAGAAGCAGGCTCCCCGCGGAGCAGGGAGCCCGATGCGGGGCTCGATCCTAGGACCCTGGGATCACGACCCGAGCCGAAGGCAGACGCTTAACAACTGAGCCACCCAGGCGCCCCTCTTCCTTATGATTTTAATATGTTCTCTTCTCTAGCTTCCTTTATTGCAAGAATACAGTACATAATATATATTATTAATTAATATTAATCAATGATTATATATTATTATATTAATATATTATTATACTGTATGATATATACTGTAATTATAAAATATATACTGTATAATTATATATAGTATATAATAATACAGTATATATTACAAACAAAATACGTGTTAACTGACTGTTTATGTTATGGGTAAAGCTTCCAGTCAACAGTAGTCTATTAATAGTTAAGTTTTGGAGGAGTCAAACTTATATGCAGATTTTTGCCTGCAAGTGACCTCTGCATTGTTCAAGGGCCAACTGTAATTCTGTTGCACATTATATATAACTAAATATAAATGGCACATAAGATAAATTTACAGCTAACTTATTTTAAAAACAGGCATTTTAGTAATTATGGGAGTCTCTACATTTCTTCTATTTAAATAAATGAAACAGAGTTTAAGTTGGAAGATTTTATGCACATTTCTGGGTATAAACACCAACACTATAGCAATACCATAAAATAAAAAACTGGCAACAGAAGTAGCATTCCTCATTACAACCTCATGAATAACATGTGCTGAGGGCCACTGGTCTGCAAATACAAGAAGCTTACCAACATATCTATAAATACATTCATGCCAAAAGAGTTAACAACATGACAGCTGCACACATAACAAAGACTTCAAGAAAGCTGTCACTGAGTTGGGAAGCCTAGTCTTACTTTATTTATTTTTAAAGATTTTATTTATTTATTATTTATCTATCTATCTATCTATCTATCTATCTATCTATCTATCTATCTATCTATCTATCT